TACTAGTTTCTCAGTAAATAGAGAGCTTTCTTATCAGCACCTGGAGAGTGTGGCACACAGAGAGGACCAAAAGCTGCCTGCACATAGTGACTCTGCTTTCTTGCTTTCGCCTCAGGCCACAACTGAAACATGGTTTATAGAACTTCCTTATCAGAACCTAGGTAATGAGGTGACTGGCAGATGCCTGGACATAGAGACACCAGAAGATGGGGGTGGCGCTTACAGCCACCTCGAACCATGGGTTTCTAGTTGTGCGACCTTAAGTTTCCCTCAGGTCCTAACGGTGTTTTCTCATTAGACTCTAGAGTGAGACTTTGTACCTTAGGACATCAGCTAATGGACTGACATTACAAGCTAAGCATTTTGCTTGTAATGGCCTGTCCTGTCCCTTTAAGAGATTAGCCCTCTCTGTCCACAGCAGAGGCAGGCAGATCTTCCTTCTGCTTCCAGTCTGAGCCCCTTCCTTTCTGTCTCTTGGCTTCTGCCTTGCTCCCATCTCCCCACTTCTCCCCCCTTGTTTTTTTCTGCATGTCTGTCTGTGTGTGTGTGTGTGTGTGTGTGTGTGTGTGTGTGTGTGTGCTCTTCCCCCTTCTCCCCTTTGCCTTCCCTTCCATAACCCACAAAATAAATATCCAACCTCACTCTGCATGACGGGCCTATCAATCTCAGCTTCTCTATCACACAGTCTGCTGCCCACTTCCGCCACTCAGGGACCTGCAGCATTTTAATGAAACCGTTACAGTACTGCCTATAAATGCCAATCAGATAACAGTCTCTTATTTACTGTTCTATTTTATGAAGAGCCGCAAGGAAGCATTTAACTGGAGGCTTACTTATGATTTTGAAGGGTATATCTATGACCATCATGGCGGGAAGCACAGCAGCAAGAGCGTTGCCGCAACAGTAGCTGAGAACAACGATTCTAGCAATTTCTTTCACTGTGCGCACTCATGATTCCATCCCCCACTCCACTACCATAGGCAGGGTTTGTCTGTGTAGTTCTGGCTGTCCTGATTCCTGCTCTGTAGACCAGGCTGGCCTCAAAACTCACAGAGATCTTCCTCCGATTAAAGGCCTGTGTCACCTCTTACTTGACCTAAACTTTCATTATCTGTTGAAATGATCATTTTAAATATTTTTTGTGCATGAATTCAGAAAATAAGTTCTTTTAGAGAGAACATACAAAGATTCAGGGATCATTTAAAAATAAGCAATCGCAAGGCATCTACTACTATCGATTTTGATGCACCCAGGACCAATTAAAAGATTCTTAAAGAAAGCAGCACCAAAGTATTCTTACAGCACAGGTAACCGCTCCGTTAAATATAGCACCTAGACTGAATGAGAATACAGGTTCTAAGGTCTTAGAGGAATTCAGGAAAGTTCAATATTGAACACCAGCTTCTCTATGCCTCTACAGACCTTACTCTGAAGAGAAGGCAGGAAGCAAGAATGGCACTGTCTGTGTTGAAACTCTGTCCTCATGGGGGCAGTGCTGTTCTATGTGCGCATGAAAGCGCCATTTTGACACATTTTCTCCCGCCCTTCTGGTTTGAAAAAAACGGCAAAGAAATATGGCTGCCTTGCATTTTATTCAATTGGAAGAGCCAAGCTCACAGTGTTCTGCTTCTGAGCTGGTGTTCTCTGTGAAATCAAACGGTGGCCTCAACCTACTATATTCACTGTGAATATTGTCTTACACTAAATTGTCACCTCCCTGTTACTTATCACCAAGCATGTCAAATAACATCGAACTCTATGATCTAGCCTATTAGGCAGGTTCTCTCTGAAATAAAGAGCCACCAAATGACTGTGCTCACCTTCTACCCTGCATTGGGCCTCCATTTTTTCTACGCTAGTTGAATTGTTGGCAACTCTTTATCTAAAGATATTTTTCTTTTCTATTTAATTGACAATAATTTTTTCATACATGATATTTTGATCATACTTTATCTAAAGATATTTTTCTTTTCTATTTAATTGACAATAATTTTTTCATACATGATATTTTGATCATACTTACCCTCCATTTCCTCCCAGAACTTAAGCACAAACAAACCAGAAGAAAATGACATACACACAAATGCTAAAGAGAAACTCAGAAACCACAACGTGCAAGTAAAATAGGAGTAATTTAAAAAAAAAATATGCCCAAAGAAAGCAATATGAGACACACACACACACACACATACACACACACAAAAAAACCTACAACAATCTCACTGAGTTTGTTCTGAGATGACCATTGCCTGCTGGATATGAGGCCTACCCTTAAATGTCATTTATGTGCCCAGCATGACTCCACTGGAGCACATGAAAATTTCCCCTTGCACATGGGTGTCACCTGAAGACAGCTTCTTGCTTAGGGATACAGATTTGGGTCTGCTTTCTACTCTCAAGGTTGGGACCATCTCTACCATCTCTAGCTTAAACCTGTGTAGGCCCTGTGCATGTTGTCACTCTAGTCTCTGGGAATTCTAACACGTGTCATGCCTGTTGTGTCTGATAGACACTTTCCCTTGTCTCACTTTCCCTGATTTTTATGCCCTTTTTGCCTCCTCTTCCGCAAAGATCCCTGAGCCTTGGGACCATGTGTTCCAGAGTCTCTCATTTTCTGCACATGGCCACACATGGGTGTCTATATTAGTTCCCATCTACTGCAAGAGGAAACTGATGAGGCAGCTTTCAACTTCTTTAATTTTCGTGTGTGTGTGTGTGTGTGTGTGTGTGTGTGTGTGTTTAGAAAGAGTTTTTCTTTGCTATCACTACTCCATACCCCTTGTTAGAAAAATGATAACTTTTGGGAGGTTTGTTTCAGTTCCCTTTCATGAACATCCAAGTATTTTTATACATAGGTTCTCTGAAAACATCCTGCAGAATAATGTGTATGCTGTAATTTGATTGACACTGAGTGTTCTGCAGCAACATTTTTAAGTTAATATATTTAAACAGTCAATACATTGCCGGGCAGTGGTGATTCATGCCTTTAATCCCAGCACTCGGGAGGCAGAGGCAGGCCGATCTCTGTGAGTTCGAGGCCAGCCTGGTCTACAAGAGCTAGGTCTAGGACAACTTCCAAAGCTCCAGAGAAACCCTGAATCAAAAAAAAAAAAAAAAAAACTTTACTTGCCTTTTAAAAATTGATGTACAATGTGTGTTGATTATATGTGTAGGTGTGAAAGGATAAACTGCAGAAGTGTTTACTCTACCGTTAGAGTTCCAGGTATGGAATTTATATGCTCAGGCTGGGAAGCAAGCATCATTATCACTTAACAGCCCCAGTATTTGTCTTTACATAAACATGCAAATAAATTTCTCTGATTATCCTATAAAATTTTAAATAATACATTTATTAGATATTCTTAAGGATCTTTCTGAGATATTCTCTGACATAGTCTCAGGGCCAAGGACTGGTTCCAATTCCATTTGCAATGTACTGGGAATGGAATCAGCGTCTTCCTCTGTGCCAGGAAAACATTCTACCAACTGGATGCTGACTTAGCTTAAGGTTTTGTGTAGTACAGCAATTTCCCTCGGGAATGTACATCTACAACTTGAGTGCCATTGCTCCAGGAAGTCAGAAAAGGGGATCTTCGTCCCTGTAACTGGATTTACGGATGAGTATGAGCTGCCGTGTGGGTGCTGGGACTAGAATCTCCGCAAAAGCAAAAAGTGCACTTTAGGCACCCAAGGCTGAATTTTAAACATATTCCTCTACTTTCATCCAATGTTACCTACTTTTCTAATAGATTTGAGTCCAATAATAATATCTTCAGGCGAAAAGGAATGCCAGAACCAGGCACCAGGCCACAGTAAAACTCTTACTCGTGGATACTTAAGACTGTAGATTCTGCTACAAAGATGTTTGCATGTTTAGTGCTACATAATGCATGACAGCTAAAATATGGGAAATGAAAATGTAGAAAACAAATCACTACACGAAGCAAAGTGCCAGACTCAGAGAAACACCAAATGTTCTTCCTCACATGCAGGAGCACACTGAAAGTTGCATGTGTGTGAGCGCGCACACTCATGTGTCTGTGTCTGCAATCCGCCTTGTGTTTAAGAATGCAATGTGAGTTGGTTTTATAGCTTACTAGATGTAGGCTTTTAAGTGCCGAATTTTCTCTGCAACATAGTGGAATCTGATGTCAAAAGGCAATATGAAATAATAAAGTACTCAGAGCAGGGCAAAACTCAGGGCAGCCATCTTCTTCGGGGGTTTTGTCTCTGTATCACGTTTTTTTTCAGACATGAAGGGCGGGAGTCAAGCGCCTACTACCTCCTTTCATGTACCTCTACTGCCATCATCTGGATGGAGTTTCAAAAATCACAGTGACACTGAGCTTCCTCCCATGATTCTTAGCCATGGCGGAAGATGGCGACTGCAGACAATTGTGGGTTCCCGCTTGGGCCTTGGAGACTTCTCAGGCCCCAACACAAACACAGACTGTTCGTTTTTCTCACCAGAACCTAGAGAAGAAAGCACCTTTCTGCCCTAGGACACCAACTAGTAGATTCCTATTGCAAGGGGAGCAGTGCAAACTCTGCCCCTTCACGTCCTGTTCCTGGACCACATGACAACTGTGTACTAGTAACTGGGCCCTCAGTCTCTAGGGTCTACATTAAGACTCTAAAGGATCCCATGATTCCAGTCTGCCTTCATGAAAAGATCGATAAAAAATGGAAAGAAGGTCAAGCACATCCATTTGAGAATCATCCTAACCCTCACCGTCAAAAAAGGCCAGCATTGAGAAAGCAGTGTATGCATGCCCAAGGATATATGAATCAATTCCCGCATGATGGCACTGTCGCCCCTTGGAAAAAAAAAAAAGGCACCAGCCATATACCTCTCTCCTCCCGCCTTTCCTATCTGAAAAAAAAACCTACAACACAGAGGCAGAGTCCAGCAACTGTGGCAGCCCTGCCTTCTTCCTTCAGAGGGAGTAAAATTGATTTACTGAAGGCTTGGCTTCCATTTTACTTTTATCTGAGTGCCGCAGCTAGTAGATCTGTTTCTTCATCAGAATCTACCATTAAAACACTAAAGACGAAAAATCAAAGTAGGGAAGAAGGAAAGTACATGGAAACTGATGGAAGCAGCAGGGAAAAGAAGGAGATGGTGAGTTGGGGCACCCACCTTCTCAGTCCATGGTATTGGAGTGACACTTACATTGAAAGGATGATAAGTTCCAGTCAGAGAGATCAGAGATGTGTCTATAAACCTGTTCTACAAATAAAATTAAATATTTAATAAATTAGTATTAAATTTGACTATGTTATGCATAGTTCTGCACTTCTTACTGGTCTCTCTCCACCAACTGGCTCTACATTATGACTCTGAAAGGTCCCATGATTTCAGTCTGTGCACCAAGGGGAAAAAAGTGGTAGGAGCCAGACTTGGTCATGTAAGAATCCCCCTGACCTTCACCTCCATGATGACTAGAAGCAGTATTGAGAAAGCAATGTGTATACAGGTCTTTATTAAATGTTTTCCACATCATGGCAGTGATGCCCCAGAGGAGTAAGAAAATCTCACTGCAGATCTCTGCTCCTACCTTTCTGATCTGGGGAAAAAAGAAAAAAAACTGTACTACAAAGGCAGAGTCCAGCAGCAGTTGTGCCTTCTTTCTTTAAAGTTAGGAAAAATGATCTATTCTTAGAATATGAGTATTTCCTACTGATGCCACATCTGGTGAATGAGGACCCACACCAGAACTCTAGCACCAAAGGAGGGAAGAAAAAATAATCTGAGGCACCACCTTGCTCATGCATCTCTTATGCTAAAGAAGATTGCAGTCAATGATGGAATCCTGCAGTTCTCCCCTCTTCATCCAACAGACTTCTATCTCCAGGCCTTTCTCATGATACTTGATTCTCTTTTGATCGTGGGGGCAAATCTCAGCATCCAGTTGTAGGTGGGAATGAAAGTGTTGCTAACTCAGTGCCTGGATTAGAGAAAAATTAGGCCATCAGGGAACTTGCTTCTTAGCCCAAATCACTTGTTCATGCTCCATATTGTGATCGATGCAATAGGCCTTGTGTATGCAGTGGGATGCGGCCTGTAAAGAGGATGTGGGTACTGCAAAGGAAGGAAGGCTCAAAAATCCCAAGCATTTTCAGTAATGCACCAGCTGTTGTCAAAAGCAATGTCTTAATGCTCTTCTCCTACCCTTCCTACCTGAGAACATCACCAGAGAAAAGGTACTAGGAAACACAACCATTTTGCCTTTTGGTGAGAACTGCTGAAAGGTCTTTTTTTTTTTCCACCTGAAACCAAACTGTGTCCTAAATCTACCACTTTCAGAAAGAGCATACATTTCTCAGGAATTAAATGCGTCCTTGCTTTCTCTAGACAGCAGTTTTCACTCATCTGGACACTTCTTCTCAGCACATGTCGCTTATTTTCCCACAGCATCAAATCTTCTGTCTCAAGAGACAAAGGAGATATTCCATATAAAGAGGGAGAAGAATGTTCTGGAAGTTAACTTCAGTGACTAGAGACAAAGGCCTCTCTAATAGCACATCTTATTACCTCTGAGACTCTACAACAGATTCTTCTTTGTTCTGTCTTATGGCAAATACTGTTGGTTTGCAAGGGATCTCATTTTTATGATAAATAATCCTCATAGACTAATAGATTTCCATATATACTCTACATAAACAATGCACATTTATTGACAAAAAAGCATGAAAAAATTAATCCACAAAGGCGTCAACATTTTTAAACTATTTTCTACAGAGTCCTAATCCGGTTAGGTTTAGTTTCATTATATGAGAAAGGGTCTTTAACCTAGCGGATCAAAGACCACATATAGCCTAGCATGACCTTGAACTCCTGATCTTCCTTCCTCCAACTTCTAGTGCTGAGATTAAGGTTGGCTCCACTGTTTATGAAGCAAACACAAGACCTCAGGCATGTTACAAAGGTCCCAAACAACTTTCACTGAACAATCTCAAATTTAAACTCTCATTACTTGTTGAACCAAAGATTGTAACAGTTTGTACGCGGATTCGGAAAACAAGAAAGATCTTTTTATAATGAAAAATACAAAAATGAAGGAATCATATCAAAATAAGCAATCTCAAGGAATCTACTACTATTCATTTTGATGCACCCAGGACCAATAAAATGGCTCTTATAAAAAACAGCACCAAAGTATTCTAACAGCAAACATAACCACTCTATTAATTATAACACCTAGAGTATAGAAACATACAGGTTCTAGGGTCTTAGAGGAAATCATGGAAGTCCTGCTTCCCTGTGCCTCTAAGGACCTTATTTTCAGAAGGCAGGAAGCTAGAATGGCACTGTGTTGAAATTCTTTCCTCATGGGGGCAGTGTTGTTCTATGTGCTCATAAAAGCGCCATATTGAGACATTCCTCCCACCATTCTTGTTTGAAAAAAAACGAAAAAAAAAAACCACCAGAAATAGGGCTGCCTTACATTTTGCCAATTGAAAGGGACAAGCTCACAGTGCACTCTGGGTCTAGTGTTCTCTGTGAAATCAAACTGGACTCAATCTACAACCTCCACGCTTAATATTTTCATAATAAATTAAATTCTTCCCTCCGTGTTGTACGTGGGTGTGTTTCCTATCTACTGCCAAGCACTTCAAATCACATTGAATTCTCTCCTCTAGCCAGTTAGGTGGATCCTGCCTGAAAAGAACAGTGAGGTTTGAGCCTTATGGGAACAGATTCCTATCTTGGGATAACTCAAACCAAGCAAGTGAAAGATCTGTAAGATAAGAAATGAATTGGAGAAGATATCAGAAGACGGAAAGTCCTCCCATGTTTATGGATCTAAGATTAACATAGTAAAAATGGCCATCTTACCAAAAGCAATCTACAGATTCAACACAATCCCCATCAAAAGTCCAACACAATTCTTTACAGACCTGAAAGGACAATATGCAACTTCATATGAAAAAAACAAAAAAATCCAGGATAGCCAAAAGAATCCTGTACAGTAAAAGAACGACCAGAGGTATCACCATCTTTGATCTCAAGCTGTACTGCAGAATTATAAAACAACATGGCAGATCCAAACATACATCCACACACCTATGGTCACCCGATTTTTGACTAAGAAGTCAAAATAATACAATGCAGATAAGAAAACATCTTCAACCAATGATGCTGGCATAACTGGATGTGGACATGTAGAAAAATGAAAATAGATCCATATAACTCTGCACAAAACTGAAGACCTCAACATAAATCCAGTTTCACTGAAGCTGAAAGAAAAGAAAGTGGGAAGTAACCTTGAACATATTGGGGCAGGAGACAACTTTCTGAACCAAATACCAATAGCTCAGGCACTACAACTGACAATTGAAAAATAGGGCCTCATGAAACTGAAATGTTTAAGTTTCGATAAGAAAAAATGGCAGCCTATAAAAATGGGAAAAGATTTTCACCACCCCACATTCAAGAGTTGGTCTCCAAAATATATAAAGAACTCAAGAAACTAGACATCAAAAAACCCAAATAATTAAAAAACCTAAATAACCCAATTAAAAAACGGGATACTGACAAAAACAGAACTTCTCAACAAGAATCTCAAATGGCCAAAATACACAAGGAAATGTTCATCATCCTTAGCCATCAAGGTAATGTGAATCAAAACAAATCTGAGATTCTACCTTACACCTGTTAGAATGGCTAAGATCAAAAACACAAATGACAGCTTATGATGGAGAGAGTATAGAGCAAGGGGAACACTCCTCCTGTGCTGGTGGGAGTACAAACTTATACAGCCACTTTGGAAGTTGAAATAGAGGTTTCTTAGAAAATTGGGAATCGACCTACCTCAAGACTCAGCATTACCACTCTTAGGCACGTAACCAAATGATGCTCATCCTTGTCCTTGCTCATAGTTGAGCAAGCTCAACTATATTCATAGCAGTTTGATTGGAAATATCCAGAAACTGGAAAAATGTAGATACCCCTCAACTGAAGAATGGATAAAGAAAAAATGTGGTACATTTACACAATGGAATATTACTCGGTTGCTAAAGAAAAAAAATGACATCAGGAAATTTGAAGGCAAATGGGGGGAACTAGAAAAAAATCCAGAGTGAAGTGGCCTTGACCCAGAAAGACAAACACAGTATGTATTCACTCATAAGTGACTCTTAGTTGTAAAGTAAAAGATAACCCATGCTATCTGTAATCCACAGACCCAGAGAGGTTAGGTACCAAGGTGGCCTCAAGAAAGAACAAATGGCTCTCCCTGGGAAAGGGAAATAGAAGATATCTCCTGGGTGGACTGGGTGCATGTGGGGAGGAGAATTTGAGGGACCCGTTTAGCGGGTGGATGGAGGGGGATATAACTGAAAAAGATGCCTGGGAGGAGGGGGCAGTTTGGAGTCAGTTAGAAACCTACAGCAATGGAAGTGCCAAAAAATCTATAAGGATGACCTCAGCTAAGACTTCTAGCAATAGCAGATATATAACCTTAACTGGCCATCTCCTGTGATCAGATTGGTGGTTACCCCAATTGCCAGAGTGCCTTCATTCAGTAACCGATGAAAATAAATGCAGAGATCCACAGACAAACATTAGGCAGAGTTTGTGAAATCCTGCTAAAGAGAGAAGGATTGTAGGAGCCGGAAGAGTAACAAGAAAACCCAAAGAAACAATTAGCCTAAGTCATGGGCACTCACAGAGTCTAAACCAACAACCAGGGAGCCTGCATGGGCTTGACCTAGGCCCTCTACATGTATATGACAGTGGGAGCAGAGGCTGTCCCTAAGGCTTTGGAGGCTCATAGGAATCCATTCCTCATACTGGGTTCCCTTGCCCAGCCTTAATACAAACTGAAGTGCAAAGTCTTACTGCAAAGCACATGGCATGCCTTGTTGATATCCTTAGGAGGCCTGTCCTTTTCTGAAGAGAACCAGAGGAGTAGATTGGAAGGAGGGGGAAGGCAGTGGAGGGCCAGAATGACAGGAGAGGATGGAGGGAAAACTGTGGTCAGGATGTAAGACAAATGATTTTAAAAGCAAACCAGATTGAATTACCAAGGAACTACACACCTAGCTGCGCTCTCACTCTAATCCTGTAGCTTGCCTAGATTCCTTACTCTGAGTCAAACTGTCGGCAACTCTTTGTCTAAAGACAGCTCACATCTTTGCCCCGGCTTTGTAAACTGTGGTCCCTGCACATGCAATGAATTCCCAGGAAGAAACAGAGGAAGTCTTGCTCATCCTTCAGTTTTCCATTTATAATGGAGAGAAAGCACATTCCTTTGTTATGAAGTATTTTTCAATTGAAAATTAATTTGTTTGTACAATATATTCTGATCATGGTTTCCCCTTCCACATCAGAAGGATCCCCTCCCCACTACCCCACGCATCCAATGAAAGGCCTCCATTCTCTCTCTCTTTAAAAAACAAGCAAGAGCCTATATGGTGACTCACTCCTTTAATCCCAACATTCAGGAGTCAGAGTAGGAAGCTTTTTGTGAGTTCTAGGTCAGCTCGATCTACATAGTGAGGTCTAGGACAGTCGGAACTATATAGATTCTATCTCAAAAAAGAAAAAAGAAAAAAAGAGAAAAAGAACTTTTAAAAAGAAAAAGCACAAGTATCATGTACAGATAAAACACATGTAGAAACCAATATCCATAAAAACACACAATCAGAAATCATAACGTACAAACAAGACCACTAAGATAAAAATAAGCAAAGGCAAGACCCTAGCATAAGTATACTTTATACATCCAATGAGACTCCATTAGAGAAAACTCAAATTTCCCTCCCCGTGGGCGAGAATTGGAGTGTTTGGGGAACTCAAGGTACACTCTCCAGTTGCAGTGCTGGGACCATGTGCATGCTACGCAGACCCTGTGTGAGTTGCCAGTCTCTGAGTTCATGTGCGTCAGTCCTGCTTGTATCATCTCTTAAAACCTATCTGCCTCCTACTCTGCACATTTCCCTT